AGGAAGCAATCAAACTAAGTGCTAAACACAAGGCTACAAGTATGAACAAACATAGGAAGAAAGTGTTATTCAAACCAGGGGACTTGGTGTGGATACATTTGCGTAAGGATCACTTCCCTGATAAGCACAAATCCAAATTGTTGCCTTGAGGAGATGGACCATTCTATGTTCTTGTAAAGATCAATGATAATGCATACAAGATAGATCTTCCAGCAAGCTATGGTGTGAGTACGACCTTCAATGTTGCTGACTTATCGCCATTCATAAGAGAAGACACTTTAGAGTCGAGGACGACTCCTTTTCAAGAGGGGGGGATGATATGACCACGTCATCAACCAACATGTTACAACCTCCAATTCAAGTAACACCAACTCAAGTATCACCTACATCGACACCAGCCCAAGCCTTTGGTGGCCCAATTACACGTAGTCGAGCAAAGAAGCTACAACAAGAGGTGAACGCGCTACTTTATGAAGTTCAATTTAATATTAATGAGAATTATATACTGCCTAAGTCATGCACGTTGTTGTTGCTCAGGGTCACTAAAGAGAATGGCAAGAACACACAAGGTGATGACCACAAAGAAGAAGCACACTTGAACCAGAACAGTCCTGCAGAACAGTCGGAAAGAAATATTCATAACTTTTGATTTCCAGAGGCTATGAAGGTGAATGAGCACATTTGGGAAAGCTTGTCGAGTCTACTTTCCAATGATACTAACGCCGACCAGTTTGGACTTCTAACTAATGAAATCCGACCAGCTTAGTACATACTGGTCAGACCTCTTGAAACTGACAGAACTGTCAAGAAGAAAATATCATAACTTTTTATTCCCGAAGGCTATGGAGGTCAATGAAGACTTTTTGGAAAGCTTGTGAAATCTAGTTTCTAATGCTTCAAGGCCGACCAGATCCGACCCGTTTTAGTGTAGATCCGACCAGTTTTAGTGCAGACTGCTCAGAGGGTTAACAGTCTTATCAGGACATGATATTGGTAGAACTTCTCATATTAAACTGTACCATTCTACAATGTTTCGTGGTGCCTGCTATACATGGTGTGAAACCTTATCAAGTTAGCTTTCCAACGCAACCAACAACATGTCATTTGGATTTTCCAAGATGGAGTTATTGCCAAAACACTGAAGACTGCGCAGAAGACCAACAGCCACGCGGAAACTACTCAGAAACTCATTTCGTGGAAGTTTGTTCACATAGCCTACCCTTTCTTTTCCTTTTCGTGTTTATACCTATCTAGGAGGGCTGTTCCTAGTATAAATATCCTTGTACTCCTAAGCAAAAGAAGACTTTTGAGAATCGAAATACAGAACCCCCCTTTTGTTCAGTTGTGTGCTAACAAATATTGAGAGTGATCTCTACCCCTTTGCTCTTGTGATTTCCTTCACGGGATTTACAGAAGCGGCGGCTTCATCCGCTCCCAATTGGTGCTCCTACTCCCTTCGATGTTTACCTTGATTGTAGGTTGTGTTGGTTGGTTTCTTGAGAGTGTGGTTGGGTGAATCCTCGATTCAGGTTGCCGGTTAAAGACGATGGTTGGCTTCGAGTTTTATTTGCCAGGTTGCACTAGTTATCGCTGCCTGCAGCAAGTTATCCGGCTGTTCTTCAGCTAGTTATCTGGTGATTGATCCTATGTCGTGAAGATCGGGACCTCGCATCGTATCAGTAGCATTTTACCGGAAGTATTCCAGGTATCATTATTTATATTTTTCTACAGGGAAACAATGGAGTAAAGATTTATTAAATAATAACAAAGGAGTATTTACTAACATACCAACATAACTAGAGCAGGGGGGTAATGATAGGATTTATGTATAATGACACACATGGGATAAATCTATAAAGATAATATAAACTAGTTAACTCAGGAGATCAACGGGTGAGGTAGATTCCTATGATATTCTTATTATAGGATCAAAGTATATAAATACCCAACTTATAGCTAAGACTCACTCTACTCTTGTGCACTTTGGGATGCCGCTAGACGGTAGAGCACCGCAAAGGATAACTCTACTAACACGATTATGGTCCTACAATTTAAGAACCTGCTCAACATGCGGTGGACTACAGAGGATAGACGGGGCTGTCATCACCCGCTGCTACCACACAACCAGGGAACAGGGTGCACTCATAGGCAGAGCTTCGTATAAGCACCATGCTTACACGAGGCTTGGCTACTTAGCCCAATCAATAATCAAGCAGGCTAAGCGCTCTATGAACCCGCACACAAAAGTAAAGATAACCTTAACTAAGTAAGATACATATTCAAAGTAAGCATAGCCATGTAGATATGAATGATATAATGATAACAAAGTCTCATAAGATAAATAAGTGAAGATACAATGGCTTTACTGAGCCTTCGAGACTGGATCCAGAACCTGAGCATGAGCCCAACTCGACCCTCAGTCCCGAGCTACTAATCTACTACATTGGAGAGCTCTAGATCTAATCCTCCTGGTATATCTTGATATTGATCTCTGATGGATTTCTCTAGAGATTAGAGATTGGAGAGATGCCTCAGGAGGGGGGTTTGGGTGGCTATATATAGGGGGCAATGTCAATCCTAGACCCTCGGATCAAACTGACCTTGAGCAACGGCGTAGATTTGATCTTTAAGGCGGTGGAGAACCAACATTTGAAGAAGGGGCTGTCCTATGGGACCCACTGGCCAGCCGGCCTACAAGTGGGGCTAGCCGCCCCACATGGCAGCCACTCAGCCTCTGTTGCGTAGTGGTTTGCATTCTGGAGTGTTCTAGAGTCTTCCTAAGTCGGTTTCGTCGCAGATAAACGTGATTAAATCTAACGATTTGGTCCTCCTTGATGGTTTTCTGATTAAATCCTCCTGCAAACATAGATTCACCAAAACTTATGGAATTCATTAGTTTAAACCCCCAGACCTACGTTTGGTGATGGAATTAAGTATATCTGTAGGATATGTTGATGGTTTATGATTGACATTAACAACCATCAACAAACTTCAACAGTCGGATTTTGACATGCCAATGGCTAGTTGACGTGGCATGCACCGGTGGTGTCCGGTGCAAGCACCATGGCAATAATGCTGATGCAAAAGGCTGAGTTCAGCCTCCAATGACTAGTTTTGGTTTGGAGGGCTATATATATATATGACCCAATCTAACCATTTGAAGATAGAGAGAGCCAAGGCAAGGTGCTAGGGTGTTGATACACCACATTGGAGCTCTCCATATGCATAGGGCTTAAAGAATCACTACTTGATTAGCGTAGGTGTTTTGCGAAGCACTTAGGTTAATTAGACCATGCTCATATATATGCGCTTGCTCTAGGCTTAGGCTTAGCAGTTAGTGAGGTTGGCATACCTCTTGATCAAAGGTGCTTGCGCGCACCGTGTTTGTACTTGGCAGGGCTTATAGTCTTGCGAGGATCACACCAACAGTTTTTGTGGTGTGGCCATTGCGGCTCTGGCCAATTAAGGACCATTTAGGTTGATCCATAGAACATGGGACTATCAAACATGCATGCCATTTGCCCTATATAAGGCAAGGCCCATTTTGCAAACTACTGTGAACAACCATCAGTGTGCAGGAGAGAGTAGGTGCACAATCTTGCAAAGAGACAACCCCAAGAAAATACATTGGTGTCCGTGCATTCACTATGGCTTGGTGGACAAGCTGGTGTTAGTCATCTTGTTCATGGGGTGGCATTTATGATGCTGAGCTTGTGCGTATAGGTGTGCACATTCTACAGAGTTAAAACAATATGTATATCCACAATCTTAGTCATGATCATTCATATTAATTATTTCAGCCTACTAGTTCTTCTCTTGTGCTTCTTCTCTCCCCTAAAGATAGGTCTGACTTGAGGACATTGAGATGAGGGGTGTGTGGGGGTTGCCTCATTTCTTTGTGAGAGTGATGAGGGTGTTGTGAGGGAAGTTGAGTGGTGAGATGTGATGTGGAATAGAAGGTGAGGATGAGAGTGTATCTTTGTATGGGATGGGTTACCGAATGAGATACTTTATTATTATCGCTATACTTTCATGCTAAGGATGTAAACTACAACCAAACTAATAGGATCACTAGAACCCTTTACTTTTCTATTTCCACCAAAACTCAGTGCTGACCATGGCGTACACACATTTGGTGGTGTGTAGTTTTTAGACTTGCAGTGGTGTTGAGAATAATGGTTGATTTTTGTTTATGCTCAAGGATGCCCAATGATTGGAGATTTTCCAACCTTCGCTGCTTCTACTAGGATACTGGGGTTTTTTGTTTGATTTTAGCTCTGAGGACTTGAATCCAAAACTATTGTAATAATCATATTTAAGTACCCTAATGTTGTATGGATTTATGGTCAGTTGAATAATCGATGCCTGTGATAGCTAAGATATCCTGAGACGATCATAGAGGGACAAAAGAGTCAGAATTTAAGTATTGAAATTCTAGCTATTTTCATGATCTCACCTTCCTCATCATTCATCCATTTCTCCTTAATCTTAAGCTGCATAATCTAGATCTTGGCACAATAAGAGGCAAGCACCATACAATATCTAACCAGCTTTGACCATGGAACTTGTCTTTGTAGTAACTAATGAATAATAAGGGAAAAGATGGATGATGTGGATGGCCATCACATGACATCACTATTGGCTATTATAGCTACCGTATTGGGGTGGCAATGGAAATGGATGTTTGACTTACACTCCAGCTAGAGTTTGGAGAGATAGAGAAGTTGTTGATGTTATGATTACAATATGACATAAATAAATTCTTATAAAAAATATTATGTGCACAATAATTTTTAATATTAGTAATGCATTCCTATTTCACCCCCATGACAAAAGAGCATTTAAATATGGTTAGACACTTCTATGGAAATTGATTTGCAATTTTTTCTATGTTGGCAAGTATATAAACATGTTTGTTGTTTTTCTTGACATATTTGTTGTCGGAGGAGATTCTCCATTATCGTGTTCACACTATCAACTACAAACTTGCTTTCAATCACCTAAAATATAGTGCAAGGAGAGAAAATAGGTAGCAAAACAAATACAAGATTGAATTCCACATTGCGATAAAAGAACGGTGCAAAACAACAGCTATAACCCAAGTGATACATAGCAGCATTTGTTGACCACACTTGAGCTGGTATCAAATCAAAAAAATCATCCGACATGCATGCATCTAGTTTGGTGTTCTTGATTGGGGTGTTTCCTAGGATCATCTCATCGACATAGCTACTGCCATGAGGCATGTAGATTAGCTTTTCCCCAGGGAACCAATCTACGTGGACATCGGCAATGGGTAATACCTGAGCCCACCTATTCTCGTCCTCAAATGTCCAACCAGTTTGTTGTTGTAGTTTGTGGTATGTCTCAACCCAAGTCTTGTTAGTGTCCTTGTTCTTAGCAGCCTCCACAAACGCCTTCCTCTCAACATCCAGTTTCGCCTTTGCACATGCCAATTGGTTGGCATTGGTGCCAATTGTGGCAGTAGCCTCCTTCAGATGGTGTAGCATGTCACCATGTGCAAGACGGAAGTTCGCCACATCAAGTGCTAGCTTAGGGTTTAGGTATGCATCAAATGCACACGCTAAGAACCAAGCAAGCTCGACATCATAGCTGCCACCTCCACTCATCCGCACCATGGCGATGACACCTGTGGGCCTCGCCGGTGCATGGCGACCATGTAGGAACCATAGCTCTATGTCGCTGAACGTGGCTCATAAGTTGAGCACCATTGCAGATGTGTTTGGTCCTAGGATGGCGAGTATGGGATGATCATGTGCGAGTGCTACTTCCTCTGCTGTCCTAAACTCACTAACATCAAAAGACCAGCCATCTCGATTGACGATGTAGCTGCTTCACTTGCCACTTGGGAGCCCTGCTATGCCATGATATTCAATGGTAGAGATAGGGGCGGTGCTATGGGCAGTGGCAGCTTTGTTGGTTGCCATGGAGTGGTGTGGCTAGAAAATGATCACGACTAGGTGATGCACACAATGCGAAATGCTTGACCATGGACTGATCTTATATAGAAACATATTTTTGTGGACAGCTCACATATGGCAATACCATAATTAAATGCGGATTCGAAGATTAATATGTGGGAATCCATTGCATGCATGCAAGCATTTAAAAGAACAACACCACAAACCAGGTATATGAGATTGGATATCTATCAATAAATAAAATTTATTAAATAATATCACATTTTAGATTTGCACTTAGGCTTAGACCCCTTCAAGACTGTAAAACAAGGCTTGGGTGGCTATTGCCAACATGGCCCCTAGGTCTTGCTTAATTATTCTAATCATGCACCACCTTCCTCATAGAAGCCACTGGGTTGACCCCGAAGGCTGAATTCAATGGTAGAGAAGGCTTCAATAAGAATTGGGCCATGAGATACCTTCTTAAGTATTGCAAAAGAAGGGGCCTGACTGATAGAGTTGAATAGGGAGGCGATACTAGTTATCTGGTCAGAGAGAGGCGTAGCCCATAAGCTGGCCCCCTTTAAAAGCCATTCCTTATTAATAAGGATTGGTTATGCGCGATATGCTGATGACTTGCTTTGGATATTTATCCTCCTTAACAAATCAATCGAGATCCTATTTTTATGGGGAAATTGGAAATAAACATTAATGAAGATAAATCTATGGGCCTAAGCCCCCTAATGGCTGGTGTAATCCCCTAATGGCCATCATGGCACCCTCATGCCAATGAGCCCTAACCGCTAATCACCCAACGCTACTCCCTCTAGAGCCTCCGTTATTCCCTAAGTCCAACCAATCTAGTATCAGAGATGTCAGGTTCCAATGAAGGTCACATGCAGCCAGAAGTACTACCGCCGCTGGCGGCGGCGACCACCATGACCTCCACCATGCCACTGGGGTTCTCCTATGGCTCACTAGGCTATGGGACGATAGCCCTCACCATGGTGGGTGTTAGTACCAACGCCCTCTTAAATGAGTATCCAAGATGATAGTCTTCCATTGACTATTAAATTGGATAGCTCACTTAATCGGTCATCCTGGTGCACCTCCCATAAGATGTACTAAAATGCCAACGTTCATCTAGGATCAAGCCAAAGAGAGAGAATACATCACAACCACAGCTAGAACATATTACATGGTCAAAGTACTTAAGTTTACAAGCCAAGGTGTTCACAAACTTAGTTCATAACACAAACTAGTTCACACAATACATTCTACCATCATCAGAGTCGAGCAGATGTCTACATAGTTTTTGAAAGATAACAAATGTGTGGGTGTGCCACTGCCACACATATATGATACTTGGTCTCTCTACCACTCCTGATCCTCTTGGGACTCTAGAGCATAAAAGAAACCATGTACAGGGGCTGCACTACCTGCAAAACTCAAGATTACCATAGGGTGTGTACTCAATTGTACTCTGCAGGACCTACCCAATATAATAAACAAGGAGTATGCAATTTGGATAGTAGCATGGAGTACAATTGATTTTGTGGAAAAGCATTTATGCATAATTAATTAATGTGATCAATAGACTTAGCAGTTGCAAGCGTAGCATAGGTAAACAAGTTATGCGGTTAGCAAGTTGGATCTCGATCTTCCATGAGTCCTTGTTTCAAACCATCTCTAGTCTGTATCTAGAAGTACAAAACTTATAGCTTTCAAAGACACTCTATAGAGGGGTACACATTAACTCCACCAAAGACAAGGGATATCGCCTATACGACCCATCGGTACATAAGGGATACCTCAATGTCTTAACCTTTCCCCAATTCGGCCAAGTATGTCCATGAACGGTTTGACAGGTTCTTGAGTTACGACATTCCATCTACCCAATGCCACCTTCATGCCGAATCCACGGATAGACCGGTCGCCACTAGTTACTTAGCTTGTCACCCCCATATGTGACAAGTGGTTTGTACAATTTTATGTTCAAGACTTACTACCACAGATAAACGGTCCTTAAATGGTTAGCAAGCTACGTCATTCAAGACCATCACCCATCGTGACATGACCTAACCGCTCGCTGACCATTCATCATCTTTCATTCAACATTGATCAAGTTTTAGACCATAATCCATGTATGTTGCTTTAGTGGACAAACAAGCCTGTTAGTGTTTATTATTGGCAGATATTTGGTTCTTGGTGAACCCCGCTTGGTGCAAATATCAATCATAGTAGAGACACGAGATTTATACTGGTTTGGGCCCTCGACAAGCGAGTAAAAGCCTTACGTCCATTGCTACTCTTGTTTTCTTGTATTTCGGTGAGATCGCGATTACAATGTAGCCATGCCTATGAAAGACGGGATATTGGATGATTACAACAGGGGGTATTGCTAGCTATTTATATCTAGGATCAACTTGCCCCCAAAGCAAAGAAGTCGTGGCCCAGTTGGAGTCTTGGCATAATCCTGAGATATCCTTCCTTGAATAGGGCCATCGTGCCTAGTCGGGTCTCTTCTGATCCAGAGTTGGTGTTCGGCAAGTCCTGTAGTCGGGATACCCAGGGGTATGGCATTGTTAGTAGCCCCCGAGCTTGTCTGTCAATGCAACTTATCACTCGCTTGTGTTCAGGACTTTTTAAGCTGGGTGGTTTGCATTCGTTTCTCGGAGAACTCCAAGTGACCACTCTCGAGCAGAGACCCGAACAACGGAAATCGAAAAGTTATGCTGTTGAGAGATGAGCTTGTTTGAACAGTGCCATCCCTGGTTGTCTTGTAATATGCCTCGAGATCTTTTGAGATCGAGCATTTTGTAATCATTGAGATTTATGTAATTAAGTTTTGTCATTCAGTAACTTTATGATCGGGCACCTTGAGATCGAGTGCTCGCAATCTAGTTCTCTAAATTTGAATAATTTATCCTTGGAATTTCTCATGATCGGGCACCTCACAACACTAATAGAAATATCTATTGACACCAAAATTTGGTTCAGGAAGAAAGGACCCAGAGGTCTAAATTCACCAAAGGAAGGCTGAGATATTCAGCAAAGATCGGCTAACCAGGTCACCGTCAAATAAATAAAATGACATCATCATTCCAAAGGAATGGGCCCTGTCGGCAGGATCAGCAAGAACACATGTCAGGCTCCATAGAAAGGAAAGATTGGAGTCCAAGTTATCTTAAATGAGGAAGTTTTGTTTTCTTTTCCAAGTTTTCACAACCGGTCTTGTTCGACCAAGACTCGTAGCCAAGCCTTGGGTATAAATAGTGAACCCTGGCTATTGTAATAGACATCTCTCATCTATCAACTGAAGCGACCTGATTTCCGCGAAGGGAAATCCACAGAGTCGAAGTGTAATAAGACCGTTGTAGATCATATTACCCAAATTCCAGTCGAATATCACATCCATACAACGATAGTATCAGAGTACAAGTAGTGCGGAATTACATAATTTATTACATCGCCGCATTAGCGGAATCAAAAGTAGCATTCATTCAGAACAGCTTGAAGATAAGATCGCCAAACTCGAGCGTAGGAACGAACCCCTCAACCGTCAAACTCCTCAGAGCTATACTCCTTAGCTGAACCTGTGTGCCAAAAGTTATTAGTATGATTTGTATTGGCCACTCCCACCCTATGAGCATTGCTTTGTGGAAATTGGATGCAAGTTGGATATAATCAAAGGAACCTATAAAGCTGGGGTTTCCTATGTATTAGCATATCAAGTACATAATAATAGTTGGTCAAGTTTTAACACCATTCCCACACCCATTCCACCCCATTTCCGTCCAGAGCCAGGTTTCGATCCAGGGATCGAAACACCACCATCTCTACACCATCACCATACCACACCCATACTATCACTCAGTCGATAGGCCAACTCCCTCTCGGCACTGTCTCAAGGCCCGTAGCCCCTGGCTACGTCCGAACACTCACTCCCTGGGGGGAGAAGAGAAGGACTCATCTCACTATCTAGTTTAAGCGAAACCTAGGAAAGGTCCATAGCCAACAAGTCGACATATGTATCAATCGATCAACCATACACTCTGCAGAGGTTTTACATAACCACAAGATCCGCCTTCCTCGCTGACCGTCGTCAACTGGGTTGATTCCGGCCGCTTGCTAGCCTAGGATAATGCCACTCTACCATTCAGCCCTGGTACACCCCAAGTCTAGTCTGGGGTGGCTGAAACTGTGAGTCATGAGCCGGTCCACAGGGTCTCCATGAAGTCTCAGAAGGGTGTGGGGGAAATCCTCCACGCCCCATACCTCCCTCACACTATCCGCTATCAACCTAGCAGTACTGGCAATATCCTACCAAGTAGTTCGGCCGTCCCGCACCATATAGGGCGAGTGGTATGTATGTAAGGCTTCTCGGTGAATCTGAGTACTAGTAAGTCCTTAGGGATGACCAAGCCAAAATGTCTTCATCAGGGTTTCCATTTACCGTGCCACCACAGCACCTCCACCCTAGGCTCCTCCCATCACAGGATCACACCAAGGGCCACCTCATATACCATTTACCCACCACAGGTATCCATTCTAGGGGTGCCCAGGTAGCACCCCATGGCAAGACTTTCCCTAGGCTCGTCGTATACTCCAACTTGGTCGACACAACCCTCACCCTCCATGCACCCATGTCACACACGCAGCACTCTCCCCATAGTCCAGATAACACCAGTTTCCACCATGCATCAATGTAGTGCAAG